CCAATTAGTGACCCATCTGACTGTGTAGGTGTCGATACCATAGTCCCCTAGTTTTTTAGTGAGAATGGGGTGAGAGACGGTGTCAAAGGCCTTCCTAAAGTCCAGAAAGACTATGTCCACCGCAACGCCTGCATCCAAGGATTTGGTGACCTGGTCGTAGAAGGCCACCAGGTTGGTCTGACAGGACCTGCCTCTAATGAACCCGTGTTTGTTGCCCCTAAGCATAATCTCCCCTGCTGGCCCCTTGTGGACATGTGCTAGAATAATTCTCTCAAAAGCTTACCCAGGACCGAGGTAAGACTAACTGGCCTACAGTTTCCTGGGTCCTCCTTCCTCCCTTTTTTGAAAATGGGAACCACATTGGCCCTTTTCCAGTCCTCTGGCACAATGCCAGAGCACCATGAGTGCTCGTAAAGCTGTGCGAGGGGTCCCGCAATGACCTCAGCCAATTCCCTCAGCGCTCTGGGGCGGAGATCATCAGGACCTGCTGATTTTAAATGCATCCAGTCCCTCCAGAAGTTCCCTGACTAGTTCCCCTCTGACCCGAGGCCTGGGTGCGCCTCCCCTGGGGCCTACAGGGTTCCCAGTGCGGGGGGATGAGCCAGTCCCTACTCAGAAAAATGGAGGCAAAGAAATTGTTAAATAGGTTAGCTTTCCTGTCTGGTGTGACAACCAGATTTCCTAGCGTGTCCTGCAGAGGCCCCACATTACCTGGTACCTTCTTTTTGCCCCCTATGTATTTAAAAAAAGGACTTCTTGTTGTCCTTCATCTGGGTGGCTAGTCCTTGGCCTTCCTATCCGCCCCCCTGCAGCCCCGAGCAACTGAGGTATAGTCCTCCCTGGTGATGACCCCTCCCTTCCACTGGGTATACACCTCCTTTTTAGCTAGGAAAGGTTCCTGGATGCTTTTGGTGAGCCATGGGGGCTTTTGCACCCTTTTGCCCCCTTTTGATCCGTGTTGGGATTACCTCTCTTTGGGCTTGGAGGATCTTCTCCTTAAGGAACAACTACTCTCTGAGCAATCATTGAGCTCCAGTATGCTGATGATGCTGTAGCATGTGGTCACTTGGAAACATACCTTCCGGCAGTCATCAATATTGTTTCCGAGGCAGACAAGAAAATGTGACTGATGCTTAACATTCAGAAGACTAAGATCCTCCACCAATAGGCTCCTAATGAACAGTCCCCAGCTCCGGTAATCCAGATCCATGGTGAGACACTAGAGAACACTGAGTATTTCCTATACCCTAGAAACCATCTCCTGTGGAAAGCTGACATTGACAAAGAAATCCCGCATCGCCTCAAATGTGCATGGGTAGCCTTTGGACACCTGCAGAAATGGGTGATCAAAAATCATGACATTGGATCCAAAACCAAGGTCATGGTTAATCAAACAGTCATGATCCCTACCCTGTTGTATGGAGCTGAGACATGGACAACATACAGGAAACATCTAAAGTTGCTGGAGAAATACTATCAATGCTGCCTGCACAAGATCCTCTGAATCCAGTGAGAGGACAGATTCACCAACATTAGCATCCTCCTACAAGCAAGCACTGTGAGTATTGAAGCGATGATCATCCAACATCAACTTTGTTGGGCTGACTGTGTCATCTGGATGTCTGACTCCAGACTCCCAAAGCAAGTTTTATTTTCCCAGCTCAGCCAAGGCTTACACTTAAGAGGAGGACAGAGAAAGCACTTCAGGGATGTCCTCAAGGCCAACTTAAAAAAATGCAACATTGATGTCATCTCACGGGAGACTATCACCCAGGACTGCCCCCAACGGAGCAAGAATCTGTTGCAGGGAACTCAATGCTTTGAAACTTCACGACGGCAACAGGAGATGGAAAAGCGGGAGTGGCAGAAACAGCATGCCGCAGACCAAATGAAGAATCCAGCGCCACCCACCCCACCCGGAAACACATGTCCGAGCTGCAGCAGAGTCCGTTGATCCTGGATCAGCCTCATCAGCCATCTTTCAACACACAGATAAGATGATCATGAAAGATAATCACCCTTGACTGTGAGGGATTGTCAAGACTTACATTGTTATTATTTGTATAAAAAAAAATGAGATTGTGTTTCTCTTTAGCTTTCTGTTATAAGAAAATTGTAATCTAGGCCTGTTTAGAAAAAGTCATTAATTGTGGAAATCTAGATCAGTTCCAGTTAGGGCTGTTGTATTTGGTCTTAACACTGTTTTAAAGCAAAAGGCAAGAGAGCTTCTGGGACCGAACTTAGAGAGGTCCCTCCCTCGAAACATGTTGTACAAACCCTATTGATAAGAGTGGTAGTGGAATAAATATGCAGTTTCCATACCTTTTTTTTTTTTTATGTGGAACAGGTTTGCACAAGATCAAAACCTTTATGTTCAGTTGGATAAATGAGTGCAGCTTGGTTCACATATGTGAGCTTTTTGTAAATATAGTTCTCAAGTTCATGGTTCACCATTGAGATCACAAATACTTATTCTGTCTTGATGAGGGAAGATGCTATAGGGGGAAACTGTTTTCTGCAATAGAGCAAAACACTTAAGTTCATCCTTTGGCAGTGACAGTATGCAAGTATAAATAATTTTAAATGATTAGCTTAATAAATGACTTAAAGCAAAAGTAAGAACAGGCTTGCAATACAAAACATTTATTGCTGCGGTTCAGTAGCCATTTTGTTTTGCATTTAGGGAACGCTTTCTATTCTCTTCCTTGAAACTAACTGTCTTTCCTTAATTGGCACTTGAAAAAGGAGGGAAAGTCGACTATTACTTCCCAGATGTATGTAATGGAAAAAAGGAATGCTGCCAACTTTACTTTCTGGTTTAGTTTCCATTACATTAGGATTATGGTAAGTGATAGAAGCTTAGAGATCATAAAACATTCATTAAAATAATGGCATTATCTTGTTAAGAGAACTTACTGTTATTGGTCTGAGAGCACATTTCTTCCACTCTAGGTCTTGTGTCGTCAGTGTTTCCATTATCATTCTTTGGGCTGGAGACTTTACTAACCTGGGTTAAAAAATTCTCTGTAAACTTTATCTAAACACCTAAATCAGTCTTTGGCAAATAAGATGTCTAGCAGTAGGTGACTTCTTTGGAAAGCTGCTAGAGCAGTGGTTCTCAACCTTTATACACTTAAGGCACCCCTGGGAAAATGCCAGCTGTTAACTTTCACTTCTTGTTTATGGAAAAATAATGGCAATTTTTTCTGTTGCAACAAACTCGAGAAGAGCACAAAAGGTCAGCAATGCTTTTGACACTGGATTCTTACTTGAAATTTCTGGATTTATCTTGTGAATTGTGTGGATGCACACCTAGTATTGCTCAACCATGGCATCCTGTTTGAGGATCTCTGTGCTAAATGAAAATGTGACTATTCAAAGTAACCCCTGCAAGCAAGTACAATTGGGACATTGACTGAGCCATGAAAGTGCTGAAAACCTTTAGTTCAGCTTTAGTTTAACATGCATCAGCGCATATGCAGTTGCCAGCATTGCTACTTGCTTGCCTGTTGGTTGTGGACAAGATTATTCCCTACACAAACTGTAGGGAATTATTTGCTAATATGTTGTATAGGAAGGTGATTCATTTTGCATATTGGGCATATTTTACTTTTTCTTTACTTTTCAGTGTTTTCAAATTATTCAGATAATTTGTTGTTTGAGTTTAAGTTCAAAATAAAAACATCTTCCTCTTACCATAATTGAAAAGAAGATTATCCATCATACCTGTCTCTGACATGTCCACTCTGGTTTTAAGAAAAGGAATCGGGAAGTGATTCCTGCCTTTTTAAGTCAGTGGTGCTCAACCTTCCAGCCTCAGGTGTTGGATGAGAAGCAGAGGGCTGGCTGGTGGGCTGGATCCCATATGCTGGCCTGATCCTGTGTGCTGCATGGAGCTGCAGACCAGTGATCTAGTGCACAGGGTCACAATTTGGCAGCAGGGGAATGGCAATTAATGTTGCCAGTTGTTCTCTGGCAAATTACCAGGTCCATGGGGAGCCCCGGGGGCTGGATGACATGGCTGTGCAGGCCAGAGGTTGAGTATCACCTCTTATAAACTGCTCTTGTGTTATGGCGTTGCCTTTTAGTTTTGGAAAGGTCTGATTTTTCTTGTGGTCAGAAACTAGCTAACTAAACTGTGCATACAGCAGCAAAGCTTTGACCAAGCAAAAGCATCAAAACAAAATTCACTTTGAGATGTGTTTTGTGCACCTTATATGCCATCAGCCGACTGCACAGTTTAAGCTTGTGATGCTGAACAGAGAGGCTTAAGCACAATTAAGTGCATCTGCACAAGGAGGTTGGATCAATGTAAATTAAATCATGGTTCGGTTAAATTAGTTCAGTGACTCTACTGTAGGCTTACAAATGGCTTCAAATGGACAGTGTTTAGTGCATTTATGGAACTAGGATATTCACTTGTTTTTAGCTTTCTTCCTTATGGTATGGTTTGCTTACATAAAGGACTCGGACTCTGTGATGGCTCATCTCGTAAAACTATGTTCATTCTTCCTTTTTTGGTTGTCTGTTAAAAGATGATCTGTGATTTGTTTAAAACATTCAGCCCCACCCCCCCTTTTTTATTTCTTGATAACACAGAGATTCATCCCTCCATTAGAAATTCAGCCTAGCCAAGGAAATCCTCATGTTCATGGTCATGGCATTGAACTATCATGATTTACCTAATTAACAGATATATGGCTACTTGCACTGGCAGCCGTAGAAATAAAATAGTACTAAGAGCCAACACAAGCAGTCTACCTGAGGTGCTTTCTATATTTTCACATCTTAGTCATCCTCAGGGATTGAAGCACTTCAGTGTATGAACACAGTATAATTCCATTTCTGCTGTAGAAGCTGCAGCTTCTGACTAATAAAAAGAGAACTTTATACAGGGCAATAGAAAAAGGTAAATGACAACGGGGGCAATTTTTCTGTATCTAAAATGTGATTAAGATCTTGCAGAGTTATATTGTGTTCATTTCTCTTTGTCATTGAAGTGTGGTGTTCCCTTTCAAGAAGATGATGTGATTCTACTTAATGGCAATAAAGATGACATGGAAAATCTGAAGAAGAGAATGGAGGATAGAAGACTTAAAAATAAATTGGGAAAGGTAATGTTTCTATGTAGATTTAAAAAACGCAAGAATATTATAAAAGGATGTTATCTGTAATGAAACCTTGTATGAATTTATTTTGTGGCTATAAGTTCAACTCCTAATTATGGGATTCTTCAGAGAGTCTCTGTGTTAAACTACTCTGATTTAGTATTTGTTGATAAATCTGTGTAGTTTGTCTAGGACACATAGATAAAAAATGTTTTAGTCTTAACCATGACAAAATATTTGTAAGTGTTTAGTTTTTACTTCATACAACTGTAAACCTAAATGAAACTTGGACTTTTGGGTCCAAATTACAAAAACATCAAAAGTTTGGGTGGGGGAATGGCAAGTGACAGGAAATAGCAAACCCCTTCCATTTTTGGTGGTAGGGTTCATTTAGGTTTATGTATGCTTGACTTTTTTTGAAAGCAGGCTTTGAGAACTGGTAAAGCCCCCTCTTGGTCGTACACACCTTCATTTCTTTGAGAAGCCTAACACTGGAATTCATAAAAGTATTAGTAGCTGTGGCAGCACACTTAAGAATGAGAAATTCATTGTCTCCTTACCTGGATCACTAGGTGATAGAAAGGAACCTTAATAAGCCATCCTGTACTTAGCCTGTTCAGCATTTGGAAATAGATGCTATTATAATAGGTACTCTCTAGTTAGAATGTGACTAGCCCTGTTGGGCTTCAATGTATATATAAATCCAGCACAGTTCAAGAGACTTCCATTTGGTCAAATACAAGCCCCAAAATAGGAAGATCTTTCAGCGATGGAACTGCCAGCATCTTCCATAAATTACCTCTGTTCTCCTGCCAAATCCAACTCCCTCATTCTGTTCCATGAAACAGGAACTTTGAGTTATAATGTGTATAACAAGTCTAAATTCCTGTTTCCCTTTCTTATCTACTTTTGCATTCCCTGGCAATTATTTATTTTTAAGCTGTTTACTTAAAAATAATAAACATCTTAAAAATAAGCTTCCTGTTGTTCACTTCCATTTTGAGCCTTGTTTCCTGTTCAAAACCCAAACTAAAATCATACATCTGTCTGAATATGGAATTCATTGTCGAAAACAAGGTAACAGAAATGTTTCTGCAGTGCTGTTCTGCTGAGCTAAGTACAGGAAGTCAAAAAGCCCAAAGCTGAATCAGTTCAATCTTCGCAAGTTAATCTAAGCTGCCTAGATTCAACCAACAAGCAAGTGAACAGACATTCATTTTTGTTTCCAGAAATGCAGCCACATACATGCCTGCAGTGGCCCAGGCCAGTAGCCAGGGCGGGCACTAGAGCATGCCTCCCTGCTCAGCTGGAGCAGACAGCTTGGGCCAAGGCTAGCCTGCCCACCCTGCAAAAGGGGTTTTGTGAAGGAGGTAGAAAGCATCCTGGGCTGCTGGGGGACTGTGAATTAGCTTGAATCTTGAGGGGATCTGGGACAGAAATTCAATAAAACAATTTAATCTAAATCAGTTGAGTCTGATACTGCCTTCATCCAGGTTTATCTTAAACCAATTCTGACCATTTTAAAAGTGGTTTATGTGTACTGAATTTCTGTTGTGTTTAAATATTTGAACTGGTTTCCAATCACTTGCAGCTGTTCACATGTGAAACCTGTCTTAAGTGACCACTTAGAGATGAATGAGAAATGTATTGGGTTTGTGCTTTAAGGTTCCTTTATAATAAACATTTAATTCAGGCGATTGCCAAGTAAGGTTCTACACCAGGGGCAACTAATTATTTTGGGTGGAGGACTGCTTAACAAGTTTTGGTGAGGTGCTGAGGGCCACAAGGGTAGCCCCGCCCCTTGGCAGGTGCCTCACCCCCTTGTCACCATCTTGTAACCAGAAGTCCTGACTGCTGACCTTTGCATTTGGGAGTCTCTCCCTTGCCCAGGAAGTACTCCTTTTGGGGTGGGGGGCAGTTTGCTTGTATATTGTGTGTCTAGGGGTGCAGGGGGTGTGGTTGGGGGGGTGTGGGGTGTGGGTATGGTGCAGAGGCAGTGTGGGGGCATAGGGGTATATGGGGAAGGGTATGGGGGTATTGTGGGGGGGTGTGGTTGAGGTGTGGAGTGTGTGGGTGCATGTATGTGGGGTGGGTATGGTGAGGGTCAGGGTGTGGGTTTACGTGTGGAATGTATATTTGTGGGGTGTGTGGCTGGAGTGCGTTGGACAGTGGTGTGTGTGTGTGTGTGTGTGTGTGTGTGTGGGTTTGGAGGTGTCGGGGTGTGGGTGCATGTGTGGGGTGTGGGTGGGTTGGCTGTGTGCATGAGGGGGCTTTCCCCCCTGCCTGCCCTTTGCAATGTGGCTGAGCCTAGCCCTCCATGGGCAGGGGGAAGGGGAAGGGACTTGGTGCTGCCTGCCTGGCTCGCAGCATGCTGCAAAGGGCAGGAAAGCAGCTGCCGCCACTGGCAGCAACAGAAACCCCTGCGAGACGGGAGAGGGGCAGACAGCTGAGCCTGGCATCACCAGCTCTCTTAGTCTCTGTCCCATACCTTCTGCTGCTGTTGCTCCTCTATCACCTGCCTGCGTGGTGGGGTTGCACCAAGTGCATGCTGGCTTCTGCTGCTGTTGCTCCCCACCCCTCCTGTCTGTCCCTGCCTGCGGGACTTTGTGAGCAGTCAAGCTCCTTCAGCCCCCTGCTCCCCACTCCATCCACACATGCTTCCCTGCCCCACACAAGCAGGACCAGAGTGAGCTGCAGGCAGAGCCCACCCCGCTCCGTCAACACTGCAGCTTCCCCTCCCTACCTGCCCAGAGCACTGCAGCAGGGACAGCTGTTGTGCTCCCCCAGTTTCCAGCAACTCCTCGTGTACACACGCTATATAAAAGACTAAAAATTTATTGTTGAGTTATTATGCAATCACCTCTACGTAAACTACACAAATCATGACAAAAATATTTTTGTAATAAACTTAAAATATGTTACAGTAGGTGTTTGACTTTTAGTGTATGATTCCTTTTTTTTCTGGTTCTGAGATTGCAACTTCCCCTCCCAAAAGGAGTATTTCTGGGGGGCAAAAGGAGGGACTTCTGTTGGCAATGGTTAGGGGTGGGATTTCTGGTCCCAAAATGGCAACCAGGGTGCAGGGCACCTGTCAAGGGGCGGGGCCACCCATGCAGCCTTTGATTGCTCACCAAACCTCATTAAGCAGTCCTCCACCCAAAATAATTGCCTGCCCTGATGTACCTGGTTCTGGGTAAAGCTTTTCTATCACGAGAACAAACCTAGATGATTTGAATGTGTATGCAGCCTTGGTGTTTTGTTTGTTTCCCCTAGTTCTGTCCCCAAGCACTGTGAACAGTCGGTCACCATCCTTTGTATAACAGCCTCTATGTACTGGAAGACTTAATGGTGCTTCCCCCTTCCCTTGACTAAATAAACCAAGCTGCTTCATGTTCTAGCAAAAATAATAATTTATTACCTTTCAGTAACTAATATTTTACTATTTTACCCATTTTGATGGACAGTTAGATTTAACCTGTTTTTACCTCCTCATGAGTAGCAATTTGTTACAACCTGTGTTTACTGTATTTATTTTCTGACGGTAAAGTTTGTTGTCCTTGTTATTGTCAGCCAAAATTATTGTAGCCAGAGTTATTGTAGCATTTTATGCTAGAAGTGCCTGATATAAATAAAGTATGCTATGCTGAAAGCTGTTCTCAGTCCAAAAAGCTAGGAATTGATAATTGCCCTATAGCAACTAGATTATATCTCCCCCCCCCCCGCCTCCCAACTTGAATGATCAGAACTCTTATATGAATCTGGCATCCATACAAAATTGTTTCCTTACCTAGTTTCAGGAACAAGAAGTTTCTGGTCACATTACCTCCTTAAAAAAAAATGAAGTTGTAAAGTCTTGGTTGCTGTTAAGTGACCAGTTGTTAGATTTGGTGCACAGAGCATCAGAATGAATGTGTTTTGCATGCTTCCTCACATACCCTCTCTGTTCTGAAAGGAGACAAACCATAGAAACATACAGGGATGTACATTTTGGTGTCATCCCTATCCTAGCAAAGATGGAGGCACAGAGAAGAGATTAGTATTTGCACGTGCGTAACAGCAAATGATCACTAGAAATCTGCCTGGTTTTATTATGGTGGCCTTTTACCACCACCTTCTGGATGAGATCTAGAGCAGCATCTACTGTGTTACTTACTTCCCCTAACGTTGTCTCCTGTCGTGTAGACTCCACAGCATATTCTAAATGTATGTTCAGTGTTTCCTTCTTTGGATTTAGTTAGTCAGAATTGTAAAATTCTTCTGAGATGTTACTAAGTCAGTATTTGTATAACATTTATACAACAAACACTGCTATAGTTTGCAGGGCGGGGTTTACTATAGGACTGGTCTGGGGGCGGGAGGTACACACACAACTAGACTTTTAACTTCTTTTTTTTTGTATGTTGTGTGCTTTTTATTAGCTTGGTTCATTTAAAGAAGAAACCAGTCAAGCCAAAAATTGGTTTTAGGCAGCTTAGTTTCAGCCTGTGCATTGTTTTGCCAAGGCATCTGTGAGGTCAGCATCTTTTTTTCCAGATTGAAAGGGTATGTAACGCTTAAAGCAACTATATGGAAAGCGCAAAGTTATTTTATAAAATGTACAAGCGTAACAAATAGAATTAAGTCTCTAAAACACAAAATTGACATTAAGTAACACATGCAGCTTTTTAAAGTAGGTTCTCAACTTTCTGCTTACATTGTTCCAGAAATCAAAGAAATGCAAGGCAGCAGAATCAGTTTCTCAACAGGACGCCACTGAAGGTAATTTTCTCACAACTTCAGGTTGGCTTTACTATTAGAGTTATGAAACAAGTTAATGATTCAGTCGCGGGGGATTTTCTTTCTTTTGTAGGTTCTCCCGGACCGTCCAAAGTAAAGAATGTAAATGATGACCTGAACTCTAGTTCTGGAGAAAAGAAACAGATTATATTCACCAAAGGCACAGGTTAGTGTGCATGTGTCCTAGTGTAACTGAACAATTTTGTAAATTGCTCCACGCTGTTAAAATAATTTTAAAGGAACTATTTTGAATTACTTCATGCCACATTTTCAGTTGAGTTTCTATACAGCCTCCCCGTACATTTGTGCAGTGACCTTGCAAACACTTTGCATATACGTGTATTAATTTTTAAACTGTTCGTAAGATGTTAAAACCTGCCTATATAAAGCCCATTAAGAGGTAATATTCAAACTTGTTTGTATATATTCCAAAAGGCTGCAGGGGTCCTACAAAGTTCTGCCTTAGACCCTTTCTCTCCACACTGTACACATTATTCTGCATAATCTCATCCACAGATACAAATTCAACTGCCATTTCTTAGTCTACATCTCTCAGATCTACCCCTCTATTCCAGACCTGTCGTCTTCTGTGCAAACTAAAATCTTGTGTGCATCTCTGACATCCCTTTGTGGATGACTAGCCATCTAGTCATTTGCTCTTACTCTGCATTGCTAGCCGATCTCTTAATCCCCTCCACTCTCACCGGTCACTCTGTCTCCTTTCCCCAAATAATGTGGACAGCATCGCCAGTCTGCCTGTTGTTCATTCCCACAGCATGGGCATCATCTTTCAGTTGGCATTCTCTATATCTTCACATCCAAGCCCTAAATCTTACCGATTCTTGCTTTTTAAGATTCAAGAAGCATAATTTTGTGGGCACTTCTTTCAAAGGAAACAAACCCTCTTTGCATATTTTAATAACTTGCTAGTCCTCCAGTTAGCTACTGCTCTGCTGCCCATCATTAAGGACATTCAGCGTGAAACTGAGAGAATTTGGCTGCCTTTTAATCCCAAGGAGACAGCACCAGTTTAGGTTGCATATATATATTGCACAATTCATTTGCTCAATTGCTTTAATTCTTATGATTTTTTTTATCCAGAGACTGGGGGGAAAAAAACAACCCTCGTATATTTTAAAATCAGTTATTGTTTAGAAATGAGTCATTTTCTGAAGGGAAAATAATCTGAAGAGTCTGATATTAAATAATGAGCTTTAGTGTTTCTCTGTGGTGAGCCTAGAGTATTTACATTATAAATGTCCTATCTTCTCCTCCATACAGAGCTGCAGATTTCTTCAGTCTATAATAGATCGTGTTTAAACTGTTTCATCCCAGTTTCTTCTAATTGCTAATGGGTGTCTGTGCTGTCTTGAATAACACTTGAAATTAATTTCTCACAGAACATAATGCAAAGGGAAAAAAATCACTTGACCCTTTTTGAAATGACAAGTCATTGGTTTCTGTCTGGAGACCTAGTTGCTTTAATGAACTAGGGAAAAAAAATGAAAAACAAAGCTAAGGAGGAAACATGAGGTAGGCTGTGGGCAGGAAAGAAATGAACTTTGCTAGATGCTGTCCCTTGAGGTTTGCATGCATTTATTACAAGATGCATTTCTGCATTATTTTCAAATGTGTTGGTGCTGTTTTCTTCCCAGTGTTAATTTTGGGGGATGACAATGGAAAGCAGCTCTGTCTAGGTCAAACATGCAGACAGGCTTCTAACTGTTTTTGTGCCTAAAATGTACTCATTGTAGGCAGTTTAGGGAAGACTTTTGCGCTGTTTTTTCTCTTTACTTGTGAGCCACAACTGCAGCTTTTCAGAAATACTTCTGTGTCCTTTTGAGAACATGGTGGTAGCAGCAGGTGAAGTGCATAGAAATGGTGTCACAAATAATGGGGAGGCATTTTTCCTGGCTTCAATGAGAAATGATTAAATGACTATCAGGCCATTGTTGTTGTCTATAAGGGACTTCATAAAGGATAAAGGGAGTAGATAGATTTTAAATGTGTCACAAGTGTTGCCTTTGGCATTTGACAGCTATTTTTCAAACAATAGGGGGAGAAATCCTCCCACCTTTATGTGTGAAGACTGGAGCTTAGAGCTTTCTCTTTGGCTTGCTGCAACTGATGCTTCTAGTACTATGTTAGAGTATGTGCATTCATAGGAGAGAAATCTACTTCCCAAGCTGAGTTGAACAGATGTTTTAATGAGTCTGGAAAGGAGTATGAATTACATGACTTAAACATATTTTTTCCTAGTCTGCCAGAGATGTTCCTGGCAGGCCAATTTCTGAATGTTTTGGAGCTGTAGAAATGACTTTTTTTTAAAAAACTAATATGCAATTGCAAAAAAGCTAAAATGTCTTGTGTTTCTGTTCCTTCCTTTTTTTCCACCCCTCCCCAATAGAGGCTATTGGAAGTCCATCAACTGTGCCAGGAAAAGCTGCTTCATCTGGTACCACCAAGAGATGCATCACGGAGAGGGAGGATAAATCGGAGGCATACAAATCTATTTTTACATCACACAGCTCAGCAAAACGCTCCAAGGAAGAATCTTCCAATTGGATTACTCACACAGCATACTATTTCTGAAACAATACTCTGCATGATTGTAACAGGCAGTTCTGCTTGCCTTCCTTAGGCTTTTTTTCTGGAAAACTGATACAGTGTATTCATTTATAATCTGATGTTATTTGGAATTACTCAATTTGCAAGTTGTTTATAACTTTCTGAATAGCCAATACACTTTGCTTACCTATAGATACTGTTAGATAAGAAGAAGATAGCAGTCATCCATGTCCTAATAAAATCAAGAAATCTTTGTAAATTCAAAATTATTCGGGCTCATTCTGTCATCCTCCGTCACAATGACTAGTGTCTTACTCTTGGTTCTAGTGCAAGTGAAGGGCATAGTTAAAAATACACTTTTCTGTGCTATCAATTTTAGCTGAAACTGTCATTGCACTTTTGTTTGGATTCAGTAAGAAGGCTGAACTTTTTTTGTAACTACCTAACATTGCTTACAACCAATAAAAGAACAATGGGACTGCTTTTCATACATTAGCTAATTTAACCCTTCTCATAACCAGCATGTTTTTCCCTTTTCATGGTTCTGTAGAGCACTTTCAGTGTCTGTCCTGGAGTCATATGGCTATCTTAGAAGTAAAGAGAGAGTTTTTTGTTTTTTTTACAAGAATTGTCTATTCCATTTATCTGAAAAATATAAAGATCTTAGCAAAATGCCTGCAGATGCATGGATTAGCAGACACAGAACTGGCCATAGTTTGGGAGTCCTGACCCGCCAAAGCAGGTAGGGCAAATCACTATGTCTGTGTATTTGTAAAATGGGAGTAAGACCTCCTTTTCTAAAAATGCTTTGGCATCTACTGATGGAAAAATCTGTAAAAGATGGATATCGTGGCTAGCACCATCTGGTTAAAGCCCATTTATGATTCTAGCACATGAAAATGCATATCATGGATCCATACACACATTGAAAGAACAGTGATTCTGGCACAAGGGTTTGGATGGAAGTGCAGACGATCACAGAGCACTCCTTGGGCCAATTGCTAACACAATCAGTTTTTGAAACTGTATTTGTGTGTAAAGTAGGTTCTGCAGTTTGGCCCATTTGCTATGATTTCTGTATCAAAATCTAAGACTTAAGCAAAATTAAGGAGTTTGCTGTTATGTATTTTAAATGTTTTCTGTGCTGAATTGCAGGCAGAATAATTGGCGCTGAAAACTTCAAGGTCTCTTCCCAGCTGTTTTTCTGACTCTGCTAATTTCACTCTTTCAGTGCAGTTTAATTGAGGGTAGTTAGACTGTGGAAGAGCAGGCTATGCATTTCAATGCATATTCTGGTTCTTCCTTGGAAGTGCATGCAGGAGTGTTTGGAGGATTTTTCTATCATAGGAAGAATCTCAGAACTCATCCATGGGTTGGTGGGGGGATAAAAAGCTGTGGGCTAAATTTTTGGAGAGTTTCCAAAAAACTTATATTTGTGAAGGCAAATATTTCCTTTGTATTGTAGTGTTATATGTGCAAATGCTATTCACAGGCAGGCTTTTATGTGTGCAAACAGTTATGCTCACATACTCTAGTATGCTTTGATAAAGACCATTTTAAACTTGGGCCCCGTATTTCTGTCCGTGGAATGATTCTCTTTCCTTATGCATACTGTTTCGTAATAAGTGAAATGTGCTGCCTTCAAAACAGCTCCATAACCCATGATGCTAGATTCCTAACCTCAGAGTATTAAAACACAATGAACATTTTGGGGGGTTTAAATTGAGGTAAGTCTCAAAACTTATATATAAGGGTGTTTCAGAAAGTAACAGTAATTTTGAAATAAAACCCATTTTGCGTGCAGTAATGGTTTACTGGAGCACATTACTTCTCTACGTAGCTGCAAGCAATGGGCGCATTCATCTGTGTTTCCCCCTGTTGTGTAGTTTTTTCCCACTTTGCCAGACCATACAGTGTGGGCAACCATTTTGTCATTACTTTCTGAAACGCCCTTGGATATGAGACTGCTGCTATGCGGAGCAAGAAATAGTGTCTTGCTCTTATTTTCATCAAGTTTCTCTGTAATTTTGTTTGAAGAAAAGTGGTTGATCATGTCATATGACCACAGATATTCGTGTTAGCATGCCTGGAGGACACTATCCCAATGCTTATGATGTTTGAATCGAACAATTTTTAGTTTATTGTGAGCTTTCCTGAGTCAATAATTCTGTTGTTAAGATTCTAAATGTAGACAGTAATTACCTACATAAAGTGATCAAAGTAAAGTCTGGAAGCTTCCCCTTTCCCTCTCCTTCTCCCTTCCCTACACATTTTCACTAGCATTTGTTCAAACTAACCAGGATAGAATTACAATAAGAAGGAAGATATTTAAAGCTCCTGCCCAATGTAACATAGTTACTTTTGTGTGTTTAAAATGATTAATTAGTCTTGTAATTTATTTTGAAAAGTGTCCCCCTTTGTAATCTGTAACAGTTAATTGGAAATTCAGATGATTTGTTTATGTTTGCACAGGTAGTCTTTCTGATTCATGTGTGTTGAATGCAACTGCTGATATTTTATTATTATTTTGATAAGCATAATTAAGCAATTGTTTCCACAGTTGGTTTGTCATGGAATTTACATGGTAAGCATTTTTGTTTTCCAAATATAGGATAGAGTCTCACATTTTTTTCACATCAAAACAGTTTGCATTTTAGTTGAGCTTCAATGAATCACTTTGCTACATTTTTATATGTGCTAGCATGAGCTTTATTCTTCCTATTTTTTTTCTGTTCATCATTATCCTTTATTATTTGGTACAGGCAAACAATAAGCTTAATGCAGGAAAAGATACACAATGACAATCACTTCTCTTCTTTTTCAGTCTTATTCTATTTTAAGAGCGTGCATTTAACTCCTACTATTTTTTTATTGGGCTGCATTTCTTTCTCCTTTTCTTTTTTTTTTGAACATAGCAGCCCTATGGGATTAAAGTTTAGTTATTTTATTTGGTTATTACATATTGCTTTGCTACCATGTATAAGGATATGAGAATAAATATTTTAGAACTTGGAGTAAGCAATATTGTTTTCTTTCCTTGACCGTTGTTTCTGGATGTTAGCATTAATGCCCTGGCTTTCTTACACGGGTTTAAACCTAAGCTTTTTAAATAGGATCCAGCCTGCTAAGTCATTCCCTGCTCATTTGAGGCATTTTAGTGATCTCCTTTTTGGGTTTTTTTTTCCCCTGGATCATGTATTTCACAATATGCTTATGACTTCCACAATAATTTTAAGTACTTTCTGACTTTCATTATATACTAGGCAATTTATGCCGTGCTCTTCTTATAAGTTATGTTTGTTTTTAGAACGTGGCAGTTTGTTTTAATATTCTTTCTCAGAGGATTTTGTTTGGTCATTTACCATCCAAGTTTTGTGGAAGAATTTCTTAAACATTTCTGGTTTGTACAAGCTTTTGTTAGTGTCACTTTCACGGAAATCCACTGTGAAGGAATTTGATATATTGCTGGCGCACAGATTGTAATCCATTGCTACAACTGACTTGTTTATGGAATTGACTGCTCAACATAAAATACACAAAAAAGCACTGACGTTTTGGTTGTTAGTAGGCTGAGTTAAGCAATTCAGGGTAGACTGACTTAGTGAGACTTCATTGACTCTGGCAAATACTTTGCTTTGGGATGCTTGCCTGCTTTTTAATTGTTGTGCGTTTTAATTTGTTTTTAGGTGAGTGACTTTTCATGTTGGTGGAAGTTGAAGGACTGAAGAAGTTTGGGGTCTGAAGTCTTCCCTGTCCTAATGAGAGCTGCAGCATGGGCAATATTGGTGGAAGCATGTGTGTTGACTGTGTTCTAGAAGATTACAAAAAAGTTTTACTTTAATGTACTTCAAACCATGGCCTGAGGAGCACTGTAAGGAGCCAGTTTAGCACCAGTTATGTATTTGAGTTAGGTGTGGGGGAGAGGCGGTGTTGGGGTTGTGACATGAAACTTGTCCACTTGGAATGAGACTGAAATTCTTCACTTGCTTTACATAGACCAATAACTGGTTAGTTTTGATCACAATTCGCAAGGGCCAAATAAACATGGAAATGAAATGCTTTACGTTCTCTTGACAGACCTCTGAACTATCTAGTCTCTGCGGCATTCTATGCTCTGGCGTAGCTTTCACAACTGCGATATTTGTACTAGTACAGCTGGAAAATCCAGCGTATTTAAATTCTGAATATTCAGGGAAGATCAGCCTAGAATCAGTTTTCAATGAAATTCTACTCAGCTGGTCGCACTGAATCATCAACAAAGCTCAGTGAATTCATCTGAAGCACGCACAGCATTGCAAAAAAGATGTTGGTCAGATATTGCTTTTCTCATGTTAATGTCTTATTCACTTTTTCATGGCTTAGCTTGCTTGCCGTATAGCCAAAACACCCATTACTGTTGGTGTGATTTCTCTTAAGATGCAGAACTGTAGCGATCCTACCAAACGTTCTCTTAGTAGTTATAATAAGAAGCAAAAGAACTGTTTCTATGTTGCAGTCCACAAAGGGTTTGAAATCGGTATGTTCTACAGTGCATATAAATTATGGACCAAGAAAATAATTTTTTTCTGTGGTGTCTTGTCTTTTCTTTTTTTAACAGGGTTTCACGATTATGGAACTGATTACAACTTGATATGAGAGATTTCCTTTTGTAAAATGGAAATGATACACAGTTCCTTCATGACAGTTAGGACTTATTGTGGTTTGGGTTGGTGTCTGTTTAAACTTGACTTAATTTGAAAATATGCTTTCAGCTCAAAGGGTGAAAACTTGGCCCAGTAAAATCAAATGAGAATTTTGCCATTAACATCACTGGGTGTGGGTTTTAACCCAAGTATCTATCTATTTAAAACACTATTATGGAGGTATTGATATAACTATGGGTTGTTCTGTGTATTTCACTTCAAGTGCAACTAATCTGTCTCCTAGTTCAGTGACTGAACTGAGATTGCAAATATACTTTGACTTGTGTTTGGTGAAGAGTTTGTTTCACTATGAGGTTGAGTGAAAGCACTTGGAGAATATGAAATTCATCCCATGTGGGAAGGTTTCCCAGATTGATTTGCTGTATTTCAGTCTCTGTACAGGTACATAACTGCAGTCAAACCCTCATGCCCTAGTATGTCAGTAGGCCCAGGTGGTCTAGTGGACAAGGCTCAAGTTTCTAACCACGGGAACAGTGGGTTCAGGTCCTATTTAGGATGTAAATGTTTGCTGTTCCTGTTTGTATAATGCACTTCAGCCATACAGAGAAGCCATTCTACATACTACAAGTTAATGCACAGCTTGCCACGTATTTTTCCTCGTCTAAGAGAAGCTAGTGGATGAGTCCAAATCCAACATGTATTTCCAGTATCAAACTGTCATATCAAACCATCGCCTACTGCTTAATTTTGCTGCTTAGATCTGCTCCTCCCATAGCTCCTCAACTAGGTCTTCAATCAGTAGGAGGTAGGTTGGACAGCAAAGCAGCCTGAGATATCTGAATTTACATTGGGATATACTGGCTTGGCAGTCCTCTTTGCCCTTGACCAGGGCTGATCTGATCATTATTTGTTGCCCCACCAAACAGCCTGCTTTGACCTGACCTGACCTGACCTTTACCTCACCTTCCAGCTCAGGTCTTGGATACTGATTAGGGGTTGGCAATGGGAGTCCAGACTGATCGGGGCCTTGATACTTCTGGAGGTTTTCTCCTTGTCAAGCAGCTTTGCCCGGAAGTCTTATTCTGTCCATGTCAAACATGAAGAGATCGGTTTTCTATAGTGACATGGAGTATAAATGATCAACAGAACTTCTTTTAGTTACAAAAAATGCAAAATTTCCTTTAATATCTATTTTCACTCAGTTGTGAGGGTAGGTGTCGCTTTGAACTCATTGACCAAGCTAAAGAAATGCAAAACACTTTATTGCTCAATTATGCTAATGAAACAAACCTGGTAGGATAGATCTTTAGCCTTTTTTTTTTAAACTTGAATTTGTTGAGTCCTATTTCAAGTTATAAAACACCTTGAACCCTTTTACGTAAATGGACCCTTCTGGTATGGTAGCCAAGACGTTAAAAAGGTAGGGAGCTTTCTAAAGCTTGTTTCATTGTTTTAACTCCTGTTCAAGTTAACATGCAATATCCAGGCTGACAAGGTGCTAAATTGACACAACAGGGTTAGTAATAATTAAGTTACTTTTCTGCTGCGGGGAATGGGAACCTAGCGATATTCTTTCCCAAGTACTTGTGAATGGGATGATTAATAGCCCTGACTGAAACCAGGCGCAGTGCAGGCATATACTCTTCAAGCTGCTTGCTTATGGCTCTGCCAGTGCTTGTGTCCTGGTCTTTGTCTCCCCACTTCCTCATTGCTGCAGCCTCTTGCGCTCAGCCAGTGCTATGAATGCTTCAGGGTAGTGTCGCTTAATGTGAATGTATTATTTTGCTTGCATGTGCGTTGCCAGTACACCCCCACCTGTAACGTAAGGGTGTCCCCACAGATGAGACATGACCGTGACCAATACATTAACTTCAAAATATAAAAATCTGGGTTGTTAACTTACTTCACTGCTAATTCAAGCTTTTATCTTCAAACTACTCTTTCATAGTTCTCACTGAATCTTATTAAATGATAATGTTCTTCTTTACTAGAGATGAAACCGGACACGGGCGAAATATCTCACATTGTCTTTTATGAGATTTGTTATACCTTCCTTGAAACATCTTTTGCTGACCACAGTTGCAGGCAGGATACTGAAGTAGCTGAACCTTTGGTCTGATCTAATACAGCAGTATGGTTAAACACAGCCCTGCCTGTCTTTGAATTATGAACAGCAGTAGGCAGACCAAAATGGATAGTATTGATGTGCTTTTTTTTATTGTGAGTAATTCTGTCTGCATCTCATCAGATTTGCATGCATTAACACTAGTCTGTAGGAAGCAGCATTCTTCCTTGTTAATTCTTGTCTGTGAACCTAGTCCCACCATCGCTGTCTGCTGAATGGCTAGCTTCATTAATTACTTGGTTTTTTCAAACATACCACCTTGAGGCAGTAGTTTCCTAGGAAGCTTTGGTCGGAGCAGAATCCATGGGGATTAGGGTTGGAGTCAGTAACTGAAGGACCAGAAGGGCTTTCTTACCGTGATTGACAACTGCCAGCCTGATATACCTCATATATGAGCCTAGCAGTCAAGATAAAGTATTCTCATCCAGGGCAAATCTACCCCGATGTAGTTGTACAAACATCAGTGGAGTTATACCACCAAATTTGACCTGTTGTATTTATGTCGAGCAGTAGGCAATCGTCAATCCTGAATCCTGGCGTTTGTCAAGCAACACTACAAAAGAGATGCTTTGTAAGATGTGACTGTTACCACTACCTATTCCTGGAATGGGCCCTGCTGAGAATAAAGGATTGAAATTAGCACAGGAAAACATCTCAAACTATAACCTGTAAAACAGTCCCCTGGAGGAAGTGATGGAAGTACTAATCATATGAGTCATTTATGACTCAAAAAGACAGAGCAATACTGGAAGGAATAATGTTGCAGAGACAAATCATGGGAAGATTCCTCTTTAAGATCCATTACTAGAATGCAGGCCTGTCCAGACCACTTCTGAGATGAACCTGTTTTTGTTTTCCATCCCACTTGCTGAGTGAGCAGCAGAAATAGTTTTGCTTTTGAAGCACTGAGTATTCATGTATGTCCCTGAGAGGAATAAAACCCTTAACTGAGCACCTGTGTTATACTGGTAACAAGTGGAATATCAAGATCCTTATGCAACTAGTTGATTTTGCAGTAAGATATGGGACTCTACCAAGGGCAAGTCACACGGCCTGAGACAGGTTACTAGTACATTTGTGCTTAAGGAGCCCAACATGGGCTGCACTTTGACCCCAAAGGTGTGGCTTTAGGCAGGCTGTCACACCACTTATTTGTGTACAAAAATGTGTGCAGTTTCTTAAGTGCAACCTGGCTACAGCCTAGCTGTAGGCTGCCCAGGGTAGGCCCATGCTGGTAACACCCTTC